TAAAGGCAGGGAATAGTTTCTACAAAAGAAAAAGATATAATGAACATACCAAGAACAATAACAGATGTAGTCCCATCACCGACTTCCTCGTCTTGTGTGCGACTCAACTCAATCATCGACTGCAATCAACACAAAGAGAAGTAAATACATCATTAAAAAGGAAAAAAGAGAAAGGCAACAAGAACGTTTAAGAAAAGGGAAAAAGTAAAACCTTAGCAGCAGGGTGAGCAACATCTAGTTCACGCAAGATAGCATTTCCATCATTGGTAACAACAATTCCTGTAAAGAGACACAAAAAAACTAGCTTAGACACAACACAACTTAGGATCCACGCAACCAAACTCCAAATATAGCAAAACTTTTTTAGGGTTCATGTATAGCTAACTCAGAAAATGTTATATACTTTGATTTACAACTGCAAAGCTTGGATCTTTTAAAAGTTCTAAACTTTAAACCTAATCTCCGTCTCTTATAAGATCTATAAAAAAACACTAATAAGAAGATGAAAAATACCTCCACCAGCATCAAGAAGCATCTTCAACATAGAGCGAGGACCCAATGTGGTACGGATGATATCAGCCACAGCCTGTAATATCAAAACCCAGAAACATAGTGAAACCATGATTCAAAGCAGAGCAACATTTAAACACAAAAAGGAAAAGACTTTAATTACCTTAGAAGCTTGGATATTACCATGGTGAACCTTTGTTCCAGATTCACGCTTCAACGAATCCTCTGAACATTTTCACCAAACAGTAAGTAATATTAAAAAAAAAACTAAAGTGAATAAAAAAGGTGATAGAGATTCATAGAGACGAGATCTGTAGAAGAAAAAGAAGATGCTTACTGAGAACGAGAACAGGGGCGTTCATATCTGCGACGATCTAAGCGTAACGACGGAGATTTCGAGCTTTGCGACGGCGAAGGAGAGAATTCGAAAAAGAGAGTGGAAGATGGTGGAGGCTACTTGCTTCGCGGCTCCTCAACACACTCTCTATTTAGTTTTCAGGTTTTTGTAAAGCCCATTATCGCTGATCTGAATTTAAGCCCATCAGCCCTCACAAGCCCATAAGCCCAATATATATGTTTTTCTAGCAAAAACATTTAGAAACTGTTGAGATTTGTAACAATTTTGAGATATCTGACATTTTCTGGCTCTACTATATATGTTTCTGTTTAAAAAAAAATCAGCTGTTATAAAGTAGAGTTGTGATTGTTCATAATTTAGCTGCAGTCTTTGGTAATTAAGCAAACTTTACATTATATGTAGTTGCCTAATTTACAAAACTGATGAGAAACAATCATTGAATTATGTTGGTTAAGGAGAAATAGTATTATTCCCAAAATATTTATCTTAAGGAAAAGATGTTATTTTGCACAGCTTATTTCTTCTCCTTGCTACTGTCTTTGGTATGTAGATGTAAAATGATTATGGAATTTTGATTACACAATCTCAACACTGGTAAATCACTTGGTGTGGAATTAGAAAGAGTTAGATAAAATTGGGAGATGTGTGTGTATTGAGTTTGTGTGGAGTCTGGAACTGTTAGGCCATCTCTTTTTATGCTCTTTTGTCATATTTATGCTAACATTTTAGTAATTGTAGAGTTTATACTCGAGTCTTGTTTTTTTACCCCTATATAGAATAAGTTCAACGGATTAAAAATATAGATACACCTAAAACCCGAGCAACAAAACATATGATAATCAAACCAACAAGACATTTATTCGGTCAAAAACAAAAGACAATTGGAAAATGTTAGTATCTTTCAAGTTTTTCTTTTCTTTAAATCGAACCGCCATATGTAAATAGATTAATCAATACATGTTTAAATAGTACTAACTTTTTATTTTAAGGAGAACATGAACTTTGGTCTTCTTTATTCAGTTTTTACGAGTTGGGAAGTTAGATTAAAAGTCTCACCTACTTTTCGCGTATTTGATTTGACGAGAGGACTTGTTTTTTAATAAATAGAAAGAGGGAGAGACGCCATTAAAAGCAGAGTGTACGTCAAAAGTTAAAAGACCGAAGCCAAACAAAAATTTAAAGCAACAACGTGAAGCACTTGAAACAAGATTGAGATATAAGTTATAACCAAACCAAACTCTATCCGTTATTGGCGATTTACTTTGGCGGTTTTGGGCGGCTGCTGAATGCTTCCAATGAGCAAAAACTTCAACAGCGTTGGCGTTTGGCAGAGTAACAACGGTTACTATGGCTACGGAGGAGGATACGTGGAGAAGAGACAACTGTTCCTTAAGAGCTACCAGTTCTCGAGGAAACAGAGCTTAACTGAGAAGATAAAGAGATC